CTTAGTTGGTGCTTACTCTCTTATGGAATCTTTATCCTGGATGTGATTTAGTCGAGTGTTGTCCTTACCCATGTTGGTTTTGTCTGGTTATCCCCAGTGCAATATGTTTATTTTGTCAGCATATACATGATAACATTCATACATTCATACATTCATATACATCATGCACAGCTGAATTAAAACTCATTGCTCATTTGCGTTCATTGATGTTTTTGTTGATATATTATCCTCTTTGTAGAGTTATGTTATCCTCTCTCCGATAGAGTGTCATCCTTAAGCAGAGTGTACATCCTTTAAATTTCCCCACTGAGTTATCCCTCGTGGAAGAATTTTGCTTTAGCCTTCCGACCCAGCTCATTATCTGGATGGAACTTGGTCCCCATTTGAGTTTATTCCTCATTGGATGGTGTCTTGATTGACTGTTTCACTTCGGATTATTCCTGGTTTAAATTTGTGGTCCCCGACAATAATGTTACTCTGACCTCTCTAGGTTGTGAGCCCTGGATTGAGAATGTGTATTTATTTTGCACGTGAAGACTTTTTCCCTTAGCATGAGTGTATTTGATTCTGAAATAAAACAGAGAAAATGTTAGATAAATAAATAATTTTCTGCTCAAATAAATATATAAGAACATGAACCTTAAACCCAAATAATTTTCTGCTCTTCCAATCCATCGTAGAGATCTTTTCATGGCATTTGTTTCAAGCGCTTCATGATGCTTCACAATGGTATTCATAATTCTCTTTTTGATATTTATAATTCTTTTATGATGGAATTTTTTTATGTTTTACGTTGATCACTAATGATGGTGTCTTGAGCATTGATAGTCATGAAATGGACGACAAAGATTTGATTAAAGATGGTGAATATTATCCTCAATAATTACGCCAAAATTATACCCTTGGTTTTGATAGGAACCGAGGTAAAATATGTTTACCCCTCTATTTTAGAAGAAAACCGATGTGGATAATCTTTTTTTTAACATTACATTATTGACACAGAATATTAAAAAAATCCATATTCATCATTGTCGCTGCAATTCCAGATTTTGTTGCATATACCTTTTCAAAGGTTGAACAACCTTCTTTGTTTAACCTGAAGCAAGAATGATTTTCTGCACTTGCAATCTATAATAAGGAACTTTTCCAACATTCTTTAATTGACCGTTATTCAAAAAATACAACAACAACACCATTATGTGAGATAGATTGCAAGGGTAGAAAAAAATGTTTTGTTTAAGGATAAAAAAACATTGAAGATTTTTTATGTCTTGCAATCCATCCCAAAGAATGATGCAAACGAGTTTGGGGCGGCAACATATAAGTTAGGATTAGGATAAAATTTGTTTAATGATTATTTTATCTCTCAATTATTAAGGAAACTGAAGGGATATATCATTTAGTTTATACTTATAAACAAATAAAAACATAAACTACAATAGTTGAGATTCCAAGTGTGTCCTGAGTTATTTTTCCCCTCGGTTATATTTAAAACTGAGGGAATATGTTGTTTTCAAACTTAAAAACAATGAAACATGACGCGCCTTGGCATTATATGTTAGTTTTATTTCGGCTGATGTGAAAGATTCGTCATGAAATGTATTATTTGTAATAGTGTCTCTCTCACCTTTATTATCAGAATTAGACAAAGTGATGGTTAATCCCTTTTTATGTCTCTTTAGAAAGGTAGGACATTCTCCTTTGATGTGTTCATAGCCTTCACACTCAAGGCACTAAGTACCATTGCCACCATTGAAATCGTCTTCACTATTGTCTTTGTTTTGGGGACTGATGTTGGACCTCTTGTCTTAGACATTTGTCCTCCATTTTCTATCCAGATACTTCAAGAAATTGTTGAAATTTTTCCCAAGAAGAGCTATAACCTCTTACATGTTTTCCTCTTCATCATCTTGAATTTTTTCCTCCTGAGTGTTGGAAGCAAAGGACATACCTTTGTTCTTCTTTCCAGCCTTATCATTAGTGGATATCTCAAAGGTTTATAAGGAACTAATGAGTTCATCAACCTTGATATTTCTTAAGTCATGAGCTTCTTCAATAGCAATCACCTTCATATCAAACCTCTTATGCAATGATCTAAGAATATTTTTGGCAAGCTTTTCTCCAGACATATCTTCTCCTAAGGCAAAGGAAGTGTTAGAAATATCACATAATCTGATGTGGAATTCACTGATAGACTCATCTTCTTTCATCTTCAGATTCTCAAACTTGGTGATAAGAAGCTACAGCCTTGACATATGAAGTATGGATGTGCCTTCTTGTGCAGTCTTAAGAATCTACCATGCTTTTTTAGCCGCTGTATATGTGTTGATCAACCTGAACATGTTCTTTTACACACCATTGAAAATAACATTCAAAGTCTTGGAATTTCCAAGAGCTTCATTATCTTCAGCATCATTCTAGTCATCTTCTAGTTTCAACTTCGTTATATCATCTTCAGAAGTAACAACTAGATGTTTCCATCCTTTTAGCACAACTTTTCATGCTTTGTTGCCCGTGAATTTGAGAAAGACAATCATCATTGACTTCCAATAATCATAGTTGGTGCCATCCAAAACTGATGGTTTGTTGACTGATCCATCGTCTTTCATTGTCTCTGTTTGAGCATAATTTATTTTCCCTCGAGCTAACCCAACATGCTAGGATGTATGCTATGACACCAATTGAAATTATGTTCCTCGGGGGACAGATGTCGAACATGATGCTCTAATAACATGTTCAACAAGTTATATCAAAATCAACACAAATATAACAATACGAGTTGTGCAAGTTAAGGAGCTGAAAAATGATAAATAGCAAAGAGAATTGGTAAACCGATTCGGCGAAACCACACCTATGCTTGAAGGATTGAGTCCACAACCCAAGCAAAGGAAATTCATTATAAGTAATTTCGTACATTTAGACTTACAAACAACAACAAGCCCATGTTGTTTAATGCCTCTTCCTAACACTACCAAATGACTTTCTATTTAGAGTCTCTCCCTAAATCTGAGAATCCACTCACTTTTTTTCTCTGTCATACAACATGTGTTAGGATGTTAGAACCACTAAACCCTAATGATCAACTTCAATAAACAAGATGATTGATGTTGAATGTTACAACTCAACTAGACAAATCTTTTATGCCAAATTACTAAAACATAAAAGTGTACATATAGATTCTACACTAATCATATTAGGGCATTACTGTGAAATACAAGACACAAGCCTAAAACTAAAAATATTCAATGTAAATACTTGAATGCTTGAATTCTAAAAGTATCATACTCTAAATTTATATAAGATAGGTTGAGAAATTGGAATGGGATTTACTACCTTTAAAGCGGGAAAGGTACCATACCTTTGAATTTATTTTACGTTGTGAATGTTGTCACGTGTATAATTATTTATTTCTTTAAAAAAAACCAAATTATATCATTTTGAATCTAGAAAAAGTCTCATTTCATTGTGATTGGTTTTCTCATCCCACTACCTTGTCGGCCCGACGCCCTTGGTTTTTCCACACCTGTGAAAGTCGCCACCACCTGCCAATATTCATTATTCTATTTTTCACTTTCATATTCATTGTCGTCGTCGTACTCTTTGCTTTTTTTTTCTTTCAGAAATTGAATAATCATTGTTGTATCACTCTAACCATTGTAATGTTCATCGATTATGGTGATAGATTGGAACATCCATACCATTTTCAGATGATGAAGGAACTATCGACTGTAAAAGTTAAATATTTGAAGTGTGCCTTGACTCAAAGCATAAATGCATGTAAGAAATGAGACAGAGGCGCTGCTAATGTAGTTACGATGTTCAGAAATAAGACATTGGCGGCAGTCTAAGTCTTTAGTGATGATCGGGTTTGGTGGTGTTCTGATGGTTGGCTCGCAAGTGAACTTCAACGGTGGGATTGTGGTGTTGCCAATGAATGATGTCGTCGATGGGGCAGCAAAGGAGATCAAAGTTGCTCTTATATGATTTTTGTTTTTGTTTTAAGCATAAAAAATACACATGAACATGTGGTTTGTTATTGGCTGTATGATCCATCGCGTTGACCGAATCAATTCAAAAGCTCGGGGCCTTTCCCGCATTGTCCTTACCAGATATTAAGGCTTTCTTACCAGATATTAAGGATTTCTTTTTAGCAACATCAGTTCACAACACCATTTCAAAGATGAAACTTGATTTTTATTTACAAACTACAGCTATACATCAGTGATAGTCTCCCACAGTTATGGAACAATTGTCATCTGATATTACATTCCATAAAATTCAAAAATTATTGGCAGAATCTCATGCATATTAGCATTCAGAAAGCATTTTTCCTTACAGAGAACTACATTGACACAATCTAGTTTTGGTTAATTAACCAACACTTGAATAGTTGAACAAGTCTCACACTATCAACTTCATTTCACAACTGCAGCAAAGAAACTCATTTTCACTATTTGAAACCACCAATCCCCACATGATGATGTTTATAAAACTTTACAAGACTAACAAAAGAATATAGTCATTTGAACATCACAAATCTAACACCAAAAGATGACTTCAAACAACCGTAGTCTTAAGTTTTTAAAGATTATGCGTAAGTTAACCGCTAAGTTTTTAAAGATTCTGCGTGAGTTAACCAAAGTTCAACCGTGACAAAACAATTACAAACCCTATTTAATCATAGTTTAAACTATGTAATATATATTATGAAACCTTAAATCGTGGAAAATTTGAGAACCTCCTATACTATAGTCCATCTTGTACACCTTCACAGATGGTTCAACTCCAAAATACATTTACCGAATTTACTTGGCAGGGTAGTCAGGCAAGCATTGTCACATAAGGGAATACATTATTATTCAATAAACATAACAGATTCATGGTTATTCAGTTCTTTCTATAACACAACTTACTAGCTATGCACATACATTTGTTAAAATCTACCAAATCAGTGAAATTATATCTCTCTCTCTCTTATCCTACAAAAACAACAGATACAATTACTCTAATCTTCCCTCAAGTTCCCTTAACCGCAATTCAAACAACCTCGAATCAAACTCACCATCACTAACCCTCAACATCTCTTGCAGAGGAATCTCCAATCCAAGCCGAACTAACTCAGCATACCGCGGCTTAATCCTCTTCTCCAAACTAAAACAGAAATACTGAGGAAACCTCTTCAACTCAGCAACATCACCCTTCATCTCATTCAAGAAAAACTCCACTTTCGGTCCCAAATTATTCGCCACACTAAGAGTCAACAACCCCGGAGATCTAACAACCATATTTGAAACCTCCACACGTGTGAGCCCCAACCCCATCAAAAACTCAACTTTAGGCAAAAGGGTGTCCTCAACACTCGAAACCAAAAGCAATGTCGTTTGACACGTGAGAGAATGCGGTCCAACAAACCCTAATCCCCTCAAAAAACAAAGCACAGGTCTCAATCGATTCTCAACACTACTTACCAACAACCTAGGACACCGCAAGATTGATTTTTGAACATCATGGTAAGGGATTCGAACCTCGTTGAGGAGGAAATCAAGAAGGGGGTAAATGTCGTTGTGTGGTTCGCACGTGAGAAGTGCAGGAAACATGTCGAGGATTCGACCCATTTCGGTTCTGTGTATGCCGATTGATGAAAGGCATTGTTCGACGGATTTTAGCGTTCGGAGAGGACAGGTTCGGAGGGTGGGGTTTTGTCTGAAGGCTTTTTCTGGGTTTACTTTGAGTTTTTCAAGGTATAGAACTTTTTCTCGGAAGATTATGCCACGGTTTGGATGAGTGGTTATTGGTTGGTGGGAAAATTGAACGATGTTTCTTGGATTGAAATTAGGGTTTTTGAAGGGTTTAGGAATTGGGTTTCGAGAGAAGAAGAATTTGGGATAGAGTTCAATTATCACCATGGGTTGAAGAAGACAATGTTGACGGCAACTATATTCTAGAAAATTGTAAACGGCAATCGTTTTGGAAAAATTTACCCCATAACCCGGATTTATCCTCATACTTTTATTTTATAGCAATTTTACCTAAAATTATGAGGTATAAACAGTTTATTTGTTTTTTTTTTTTTTTTAACTTTTTCTTTCATTTGTTTTTCAATATTCTGACCAGGAGTGAAAAAATTTCATACCAAAAATTATCGAACAAGTTCAATTATCAAAACGAAAATTATTTAGTAAGTTATCTGATTTTTGAAATAAATTAGAAATCTTTGAGAAAGTCATCTGATTCATTAAAATCTGTTAAAAATCTTTTATAAAGTCATCTGGATTATTGGAAAACAATATCGGATGTCTTTTTAGTAAGTTTTTTTGGAGGGTCCATTTTTTAGCCTCTGCAAATCTTTCAAATAAATTTTAGGTTTGAATTTCCGTGGTCTATCTTCATTCTAGAGAATCAATTTGTCGATGATAGACTAAAATTTAGTATCAACATTTGTAGAGAGATGACATCTAGAAACATTGTCATTTCACATGTCATTTTGTAAGATGAGCATTACACTAGACGACATTTCTTGTATGCTTCACCTTTCGATCAGGAGTGAGTTCTGGGCACTCGAGGTCTCACTAAATAAGATGTTATTGATATTGTTGTTAATTACTTGGGAGTGCCATTTAGTGAGGCAACACCACAGGCTCGTTCTTGCATGGATGCTTATTATAAGATAGAGTGGATGTATGGCTTATTTAGACGTCATTGATCTGCTTCTAGATAGGACTGTGCTACTAGAGCCTATTTGATGATTCTGATAGGTTGTAAGATTTTTGCCGACAAGACTTTTATGCTTGTCGAGGCACGATATTTATCACTATTTACGGGCTTGGATGGATGTGGGAGATATAGTTGGGGAGCTTCTACGTTGATCACTCTCTATAGATATCTCAAAGATTCTTTCTAGTTTACTTACAAACAGCTCGAAAGATGTGCTACTCTACTACATGTGTTTATTTCTATTTAGTTTATTAATTTTTTTATTAATAATATTAATGTCGTAACAATGTTAAATTCATGAGTATTTTCTAACTATTGGAAGAAGAGGAGAGAGTTGGAAAGTAGACGATGGTTGTGGACTTCCTCGAGCTATGAGATGGTCGTATAAGTAAGGAGCACTGAAGGTGGATGAGTTGAGACCTGTATTGGATGAGATGACACTTGCTGATGTCATATGACGACCATTCGATGATCATAGAGAGGTGTGTTCATTTGACGATATATGTTTTTATATGGGGTGTCGGAAGTGGGGTGATATAGTTGTTCCATACATGCTTGACAGATGTATACGTCAGTTTGGATTAGGCGGTATGTTTCACCCTCACCTTTTAATTATATGATAGATGATGTTGACATTCAGTGGATTAGTTACCATACCAGTGTCCTTGATGTGATCTGTTTGACATAGGGGGTTACCACTCCATATGATACAAATGTTGGATACTTTGAATGGTATTATTGTGTTTCACATCTTCGGTTGGTACCGCCACCTCGAGGAGAGAATAGAGAGGTGCCAGTTCCCATTTATGATGCATAATCGTTTGATTAGAGTTAGGCACGTGTTTCTACCTTACTTCATCGTTATCTCCAACGAGTGGGTGTTGATGAGAAAGACCCATATTTTGCTGAATTATTTGAGGCATTGCACATAGTTAATTTATGTTTCTACCTTGCATGTGTATTAATTTGAGACTTGTCTTTTATTTTGTATTTTATTTTGTCACTTATGTGATAACTTGAGACGTATGCATTAAACTATATGGTATTATAGGCGTAGGTAGTTGTCAATGTTGGAGACGTCCAACAAATTCTAACATCCAAGATATTGCTATTGGGGAATGAAACTTCTCCTAATCCAATGTGCAATAACCATTTTTTTAAATGAGAGCCGTCACCCTTAATTTTTATCTTTAGGAAGGGAATATAAAAGGATAATTCTAATTTGATCAGATATTCTAAGTTGTTTGACTCGTTTTAGACGAAGAAAAGGTGTTAGGCACCCCTCATCTACCTTGTTCACAAGGATAGTTTAGAATTGCAATTTTTAGGAAATAGGGTTTTAATTTTTATTAGGGGAACTCAACACAAATTTAGTCGTATGCCTATGTATCCTTTTATGAGGAATCAGAGTCCTAATTCGTAGTTCGCAGTGTTGGTTGGTGTTTTTTATGGATTATAGGAATATCTCGTATTTTCCTTGAACCAACTCCGGGTTTGTAAATTGCGGAGTTGTTAGACGAAGTTCGCAGTTAATGAGAAATATCTCCATAATCATTTTTGAATATATATATATATATATATATATATATATATATATATATATATATATATATATATATATATATATATATATATATATATATATATATATATATATATATATATATATATATATATATATATATATAAAGTTTAAATTAGGTTAGTGGAAAATTGTTAGTAATTGATTGGTTAGACATTTTCAAATATATTAATATATTTTTATGCATGAGGAAAACAATTTTAATGCAATTAAAATATTTGAATGAATTAGAATTTAAAAAAGGAATTTAAATTAAGAAATAAACAAATTTTTTTAGAATTTATTATTAATTATAAAAATATAAAAAATATAAATAAATAGATAGATATTATAAAAAAATATAATTTTAATTAATTTACGCGGGGGGGGGGGGGGGGGGGGGGGGGGGGTGTATTTGCAATTGGGCTAGTCATTTTGGGGTGTGAATAATAGGCCCTAAATCCAGATATTGGATTTAGGCCCAAAGCGCAGGGAAGTGTAGTTTTGAATAGCTTAGTAAAATTGGGGGGGGGGGGGGGGGGGGTGTACATATCAAGGGCCCAAGTCCAGATGTTCGACTTGGTCCATTAACGCAGGGGAGGTGCAATTGTTGGCTTTGGGTAGTAAAATGAAGAGAGTTGGGGTGCAAGTAGCATGGGCCAAAGCCTAGAATATTGTACAAGGAGCCCAAAAGGAACTTGGACACGTTGAGATCGCATGTGGTAGGCGCACTATGGTATGGTTAGATCGCGAGGTTTTGATTGTTTGATTAAGATCAGAGTGACTTAATATGAGGGTGCACGGTAATGATATGGGGACGCAAGCTCTGGATCGTGGGGGAGTATACTTTCTATTTTCTTTTTTAAATTCCATTCATTCTTCATTTTCTTTATCTCACTTTCTGTTCTCTCTTCTCTCGCCTCTCTCTCTTCTCCTAATCGTCGCTCATAATAACAACAACAACCCTTCTGTCAAACCCTAATCCAGAACTCGGCGGCGATCGCTCCCCCCAAAACCCCAAAAACCAAGTACCAAACCCAAAATAGAAATTGTAACAACAAATCCACGGAAATCCCTAAGCTAAGATTCGAGGGTTACCTCTTCGCAGTGATTTCGTTTTGTTTTGGTTCTCGTGTAATCTCCTTCTGATCCTCCTTCTCTCTTTGATTTTGCAGGTATCAGATGAAGGTGATGATGGAAGTAGCGGAGATTTGAAGATTGAAGGGCTTGAAGGTGGCGACGGACACAGATCTAGCATTTCGGACTTTGAAACCCAGATCTTGACTTCTTCTTCTTCTTCTCTTTGTCTCTGTTGCAATCTTCTTTTCTTTCCTCCTATTGTTATTAGTTCTTAGGGTTTTTGTAGTGTTAGGAATTAGATAGAATAGAATTTTTTTTTGTTAATTTCCGTTAGAAATTAGATTAGATGTAAATTAGCGATTTGATTCGATTGAGATCTGAAATTGATATCTTGTTATTTTGATTTAATTCTTTGTGATTGATTTTGGAAGATTTTGTTATGTAAAGATTTGATTCTGTTTGTGCTAATTTGATACGGTTAGTCTTTGTTTGATTTGCACAATGTTTATTTCTTGGGCTTGGGCTTGCTTAATGTAGAGAAGAAGAATAGTGAACAGGGGCGCCGTAGGGCTTAGTTGGAAATTAGGGGTTGAAACCCTAATTTTGACTAAAGTCAATGAAATTAGTTTAATACAATAACATTTTTTAAATAATAATTAATAATAAAGCAAAACAGTTATAATAGTAAAATAAAATAATTTGAAGGAGTGTTGACTTCAGCCAACAAAACGGGCTTCCAAAAAAATGAAACATGGGCCTCTAAAAATAATTAGAAAAAATGTACCAATAATTCTTTTGAGAATCCCAATTGGTAGACCAAACAATCACACCCCTCCTATGTTAAAAACACATTAGCCCTTAATGGGCCGCTGGATTGCTCTCTAGACTTGGCAAAAATGGGCTTTTCTTTGACCAACAAGACCTCTAGCCCTACTTACACACCCCCTTTCAAAAAGTAAATGGGCCTAAAATTGTAATGGACCGTCAGGTTCTAATAGACACCCCTGTTAAAACAACACACATCTCTTTCTATTTTTCACCAACTTTAATGGGTTAAAATCTAAACAATAAATGCACACCCTTTCTAATTGTAAGAATAAACTTAATGGGCCATCAGATTTTAATGGTCCATTTTGAAACAATACACACCCTCTATAAACTTAAACCCCACAACATATATGATGTTGAAAATAATAATCTAAACTTTAAAGAAAATGATAACATTAATAACAATAAGGAATAATTTGTTTAGAAATCAATAGGAAAATTTTGGGGTATGACAATTGCCCTTATTTAATTACTCTTCTATTAAATAGTGCAAGAATACGTAGGTCTCCCACATTTGAATCGGAGGATTATTAAATAATGGAAGACCCCAAAATTTGTCTGAAAGATTATAAGGATACATTGTACAGCGTCCTCACGAGTATGAAAAATAGGCATAGACAATGATGTATCATCTTACCAGAGTTTGAACAAAAGTTTCGATCTAACTTAGGTGCGACGATGCGGATAACTCGTCAATGTAAGAGGTGAACGTAGATTTTTTGCGTATTTACCGTAACCTAGGAGGTAAATAACACAATTTTTGAAAATTGACTTACTAATGCTTCGTGACTAACATAGTAAGTTTATAATGCATATTTTGCC